GGCTCCTGGGACAGCCACACTGGCCACTGCAGAAGTCATGGAGATCCCGGAGAGCTCTCACTTAAGTCCTACCTCTAACTCAGACCAAAATCTATTATATTTGGACTCATTCTTGATGCTGCTCTCACTTCAGCTGGTTTCACAGACTCCAGTCATTTGGTATTTCTTCTTCCCCCTCCCCTACTTTAGTTTTTACTTGCAGGATCATGCCTTGTTATATTGTTCTTGCTAGAATTGCTTACTTGTGGAGCTAGTTGCAGGAGCAAAAAAATAACTCTCTCTGGTTTGGGTCACACACTGTCCACTGAACCATATGAAAGGAATTCTGCCTAAGAGCAGCTCAGTTGTAATTCTCCATGGCTACTATGCTTGGTAAGGAAGGAAAGGGAAACAGTCAAGAACTGTCTTGTGGCACCTTCCACAAGGAGCACAGCAGGGATGGGAGAAGAGTGGCATAGAACTCAGCACTATAGAAGATTCTGGAGTGTTGCACAGCTCGCAGGTACCCCTGAGAAGCCAGAACAGGAATAAAAACAGTCCATAATCTGAAGGCTATGAAGATGAAGCACAGCATCTCTCCCTAGGTATGTGTTGCTCCTGCACATAACACTTTTCCTGAAACAGCAACATTGAATGAAAGCAACTTTGCTGACCGGGGACGGAGGGAGGCATAAAGGGCAACTGCCCCAGAGCCTGGTGATTCATAAGGGCCAGGGGCTCCTGGCCAACACCGCTGCTACTGCATTAGCCCAGGAATCCCAGGTCCTTTAAATCGCTGCTGGAGCACTGTGTGCTACAAGCAGTACTAAACGCTGGGGGTGTGAGATGTGGCATGGCACTCCAGGTGGTGCTGAGGGCTGGCTGCCCCAGCCCCACCCCTTCCACCTTAGGCCATACCCCTTCCAGGAGACCCAAGGGCCCTCCCAACTTGGCATGGCTGTCAGTTCTCCTGAGTGAAAGTGATCAGAGGGTATCCCAATAGGTTCTGCTATTATTAATTAGAGCCATGTGCAGGAGTCACACTGCAGGTATGATTCTTCTGCACGGAAATTTCAAGTGTGATGAAAAAGAGAGGGGAAAGCATGCAGGATAAGAACATAAGAGCGGCCATACTGGGTCAGACCACTGACTCCAGCTCCCTGGTTCCCCTCCCAGCCACTTGGCTCTGCTCCCACCTCCACTCAGGCTCCTGGCCCCTGGCCCTCCTCCACTCCTGGGATCTCAATCATGCCCCTCTCCCCTCCCTGGCTGCTAGCCTGGATCTGCTCCCAGATGGGCTCACAAACACTGTAACCTCTGCCACCAGACTCCCAGCCAGCCCCCACTGCCAGCACTCTCTGGTCCAGCAACATCTATGGTCTTGCTGAACTATGCGTGTTGCCAGACGAGAGTGTCCTGGACAAGAGAGGTTCAACCTGTAATTATAATTAAGATTTACCATTACTATAATAACTGGAATAAATAAGCAAAAAAATCGAATTTTAGATAATTCATCAGTCTCCAGATAAAAAGTAAGCTCTCATACACACATCCTTGAATAGGGTTAAGGTGCACATACACACCCCCACCCCCATCATTTAACCCCATCATTCCATTACAAAAGTAAGGTTTCATTTGCAACTCTCAGATACATAAAGCATTTACAAGAGTGGGGACAAGTACTCACTTTTTGGCAAATCTCCAGTACTAGATGCTGAAACTGTTCTGCTCCTATCGTGAGATGGGCTGCTCTCCTCTCTTTCAGTTACAGATGATCCCTCAGAAACAGCTGAACCACAAGCTATAGATTCTAAAGCTCCAGAGAACATTGAAGCTGAAAATTCAGAGAACTGTGACTCGGAAATTTTATGACGTCCATTTGGCAATTCACCATTAAACTGTTCATAGGAGCTGCTATAAGAATAATCACTTTTTTCATTTGGCTCATCAAGGTTATACTCTTCAGGATTTGGGAAGTCGTCTTCTTCCTCATCTTCATCTTCAATCTGTTGTTCCAATAAAAATGGGCCATTTACAATATGGCCATTTGTTTTCGGGGATTCTATCCATGTAGGATCTGTGTTGGCAAGTTCCTGTTCAACATCATCATCTTTCTCTGTGTTTTCTTTTTCTGTGTCTTCTTTTTCATCCTGATCATCTGCTTCACCTTAAGAATGTAATGAACAATATATTAGAAATACATTATTATATTTTTATAATATTATGAATTTTCATGATCTTTAACTCCCAATAATTACTGGATTTTAGTGTAAAGAAACACTGAATATTACTTGAATACACAAAGATTTTCAACATTAACTTAAAGTCTTTGTTTCATTTATTAGGCATCTCATTTCACTTTTTATTTGGAAATGCATTCGTTTTGCAACTCTGACTATTTTCCAATTTAATCTTTTTAAATTATTTTTCAGCAACACTAACGAATTATAATTATTATTCACAATTTGTATTGCAGTGATGCCTTATGCTAAGTGCTACACTAACACATGGACCCCACTCCAAAGACATGGACATGGACCACCTCCAAAGAGCTCTCAGTCTGCAGCTCTGATTCTGCAGGTTGTTACATATGTAGACAGCTGTACCCGTGTGGAGCCACTGATTAAAAAGGCACTCTTCCTGGGCATAACTAGAGCCCTACGAAATTCACAGTCCATTTGGGTCAATTTCACAGAAATAGGATTTTAAAAATCATAAATTTTATGACTTCAGCTCTTCAAATCTGAAATTTCATATTGTAATTGTAGGAGTTTTGAAAAGAGGGTGGTTACAAGGTTGGGGGGGTTATGATATTTCTAATCTCATTTCCATGCTACTAATGACAGTGTTGCATGCAGAGCTGCACAGCCAGAGAGCAGTGACTGCTGGCCAATAACCCAGCCCTAAAGGCAAACATGCCGCCAGCAATAGTACAGAAGTAAGGGCTGCCTTCAGAGCAATGCTCCTGCCCAACAGCTACTGCTCTCCAGCCACTCAGTTCTGAAAGTACTGCAGAAATAAAGGTGAAATATCATGACCTACCCCCACTTAAAATAACCTCTAGACCCATAAGAACAGCATATTGGGTCAGACCAACGGTCCATCTAGCCCAGTATCCTGTCTGCTGACAGTGGCCAATAACAGATGCCCCAGAGAGAGGGAACACAACAGGCAGTCCTCACATGATCCCTCTCCTGTCACTCATTTCCAGACAAACAGAGGCTAAGGACACCATTCCTACCCATCTTGGCTAATAGCCACTGATGGACCTAATAATCTCCATGAATCTATATAGCTCTTTTTTGAACCCTGTTAAACTTCTAGCCTTCACCACATCCTCTGGCAAGGAGTTCCACAGGTTGACTGTGCGCTGAGTGAAGAAAAAATTTCTTTTGTTTGTTTTATACCTGCTGCCTATTAATTTCACTTGGTGACCTTTAGTTCTTATATTTTGGAAATATGAAAATAACTTTTCCTTATTCACTTTTTCCATACCAGTGATGACTTTATAGACCTCTATCATAATCCCCCTTAGTCTCCTCTTTTCTAAGATGAAAAGTCCCAGATTTTTTAATCTCTCTTTTTATGGGACCCATTCCAAATCCCTAATCATTTCTGTTGTCTTTGTCTGAACCTTTTCAAATGCTAATATTTTTTGAGATGAAGCGACCACATCTGCACGCAGTATTCAAGATGCGGGCATACCATGGATTTATATAAGGGCAATAAGATATTCTCCGTCTTATTCGCTAACTCTTTTTAAATGATTCCTAACATTCTATTTGCTTTTTTGACTGCTGCTGCACATTGAATGGATGTTTTCAGAGAACTATCGACAATTACTCCAAGATCTCTCTCAAGTAGTTGTAGCTAAATTAGTCCCCATTGTATTGTATGTATAGTTTGGATTAATTTTTTCCAATCTACATTACTTTACATTTATCAACATTAAATTTCATTTGCCATTTTGTTGCCCAATCACTTAATTTAGTGAGATCTTCTTGAAGCTCTTCACAGTCTGCTTTGATCTTAACTATCTTGAGCAGCTTAGTATCATCTGCAAATTTTGCCACCTCACTGTTGACTCCTTTCTCTAGATCATTTATAAATAAACTGAATAGGATTGGTCCCAGGACAGACCCTTGGGGACACCACTCTCTGCTGTGAAAACTTATCATTTATTCCTACCCTTTGTTTCCTGTTTTTTAACTAGTTATCAATTCATGAACTGACCTTCCCTCTTATCCCATGATAACTTACTTAAGAGCCTTTGGTGAGGGACCTTGTCAAAGGCTTTCTGGAATCCAAGGATACTATATCCACTGGATCGCCCTTGTCCACATTTGTTGACCCTCTCAAAGAACTCTAGTAGAATAGTAAGGCATGATTTCCCTTTACAGAAACCATGTTGACTTTCCCCCAACAAATTATGTTCATCTATGTGTCTGTCAATTTTATTCTTTACTATAGTTTCAACTAATTTCCCCAGTACTGATGTTAGACTTACTGGTCTGTAATTGCCAGGATCACCTGTAGAGCCCTTTTAAAATATTGGCGTCACATTAAATCAGCTTCCGTACCTCATGACTGGAAGATAGCTAAAGGATAGGTCATAAACCACAGCTAATAGTTCCGCAATTTCACATTTGAGTTCTTTCAGAACTCCTGGGTGAATGTTACCTGGTCCTGGTGACTTATTAAGTTTATCAGTTTGCTCCAAAACCTCCTCTAATGACACCTCAATCTGAGACAATTCCTCAGATTTGTCACCTAAAAAGAATGGCTCAGGTTTGGGAATCTCCCCAATATTCTCAGCCGTGAAGACTGAAGCAAAGAATTCATTTAGCTTCTCTTCAATGACTTTATCATCTTTGAGTGTTCCTTTAGCATCTCTATCATCAATGGCCCCACTGGTTGTTTAGCAGGCTTCCTGCTTCTGATGTACTTAAAAACCTTTTGCTATTACTTTTTGTGGTTTTGGCTAGCTGTTCTTCAAACTCCTTTTTGGCTTTTCATATTATATTTTTACTTTTGACAAAGTTATGCTCCTTTCTATTTTCCTCACTAGGATTTGACTTCCACTTTTTAAAAGATGTCATATTATCTATCACTGCTTCTTTTACTTGGTTGTTAAGCCATGGAAGTACTTTTTTGGTTTTATTACTGTGTTTTTAATTTTAGTTATACATTTAAGTTGGGCCTCTATTATGGTGACTTTGAAAAGTTTCCATGCAGCTTGTACAGACTTTACTTTTGTCATTGTACCTTTAAATTTCTTTTTAACTAACTTCCTCATTTTTGTGTAGTTCTCCTTTCTGAAATTAAATGCCACAGTGTTGGGCTGCTGAGGTGTTTTCCCTACCACTGGGATGTTAAATTTTATTACATTATCTTCACTATTTCCAAGAGGTCCAGTTATATTTACCTCTTGGACCAGCTCCTGCGATCCACTTAGGACAAAATCAAGAATAGATTCTCCCCTTATGGGTTCCAGAATCAGCTGCTCCAAGAAGCAGTCATTTAAGGTATCAAGAAATTTTATCTCTGCATCCCATCTGGGTCAGGGACTGCAATTTGAGAAATGCTGGTCTTCGCTGTAGTATCTGTGTATAATACATTTGAACCTCTGTAATCTAGGTGCCCCTAATCCAGGAACACCCAGGGTTTGGACCCTAGCAGGAAGAGGAGGAAGCAGCACTGAATGCTGCCGCTCCCCTTTCGCCCAGATGTGGAAACACCTATGCAGCAAAACACTTGCCCAGAGGTTTTTCCCCCGCTGCTCCCATAGCAACAGGAGATGGTTCCTGGGAGCAATGTGGGGCACAAAGCCACATGTGCCGCCCAAGAGCAAGGTGCCAGGTAAGTGCCTCACCTCCAGCCTCCTTACACTTACATCCCACACCTCCCTGACCCTGCATCCCCAACCCAAGAGCGCTCCTGCACCCTCCCTCCCAGGCTGTGTTCCCTCTAAGATTTTCCATCAATGAGCAGAGTGAGTTTTGTCCTGTGCACCAATATTGAAGTCATGTGAGCTTGTTGGGATGTGTGCCTCTGTGATACTCACCAGTGCCCTGATCCCCAAGAAACCCAATGCAGAGACCCCTGCCGCCCCCTTGCTAGAGCCCTGAGCCCTGCTCCCAGGTAGCAATCCCTACCTCATGAGGAGGTGGTAAGACCTACCTACCCCCCTTCCCCCACAGGAAGCGCTGCTCCCAGGGGATGCCCAAGGCTGCTCCCTGTGGGATTGGCTGAGAATTCCCACTTGGGGCAAAAGGAAGCTGCTGCCAGTGCCCAGGGTTTGCAGGGAGTAGGATGCTGGGACAGTGACATATAGGGAGCTGGGGGGTGGGAGGGGGACACCAGCAGGGGCTCTGAGAGACAGAAGGCAGTGAAGAGGGAAAAGAGACAACAGGTATGCAGGGGGTTCCCAGCCCTAGGAGGAGCTGCACTGCAGCCCAGCTCTAGCTCCAGCAGCCATCCACCATGCCACTCCCCCCAGCAGCAGCTGGGCAGC